GTCCAGAAGACCTATACAATTTTTTTTCTTTTTGATTTTTTACTTGGATTACTGAGATGCATCAGGACAATAACAACAAATATTTCCCAGTCGACACTGTGAAAATGTTCTCTGCAGACCTGGTGATACTTTAGGATGAAACTTATCTCAACTGATTTTGGCTAACTATCACCAGAAAACATTACTGTCACCCATCTAATCTATTATTTTATCAGTTGAAATTATTAAAGTTTTACGAGTTGGTTGATAATAATATTTTGCTGTTTATGTATAAGGCTCATAAAAATGTGTTACCTTTGAACATCCAATCAAATTATGTTAAGAGGGAAAGTTGCTRTAATCTTGAGGGATTGGAAATGTTTTTAAAACCTAAAATTCAAACAAATTTAAAGAACACTGGTCCAGGGAATATGATTATGGAATAAATTGGATAATGATTGTAAAAATGCTGGTTCTCAATTAATTGTTTAAAAGAATGATAAAAAAATGTATTTGTTAATTAATATGAAATTGTATAGTTTGTATTTAAAAGAGCTGAAGTTTAGGTGCTGAAGTTTTTGTCTTTTTTTACTTGAACATTGTCATTGTTTGAACTTAATATTATTGTTAATAGTTTTTTTTAATGGGAGCAGATATTAAAAGATTGTTTCTTCTTTCTGCTGCCTTTCATTTAATTTGATTTGTATTTTCTTTGCATGTTTTTTTGTTGTTTTTTTTAATTAAATGATAAACAAACAAAAACCCTTCTCACCAGGTCAGTTTTGTCTAATAGAAACTTCAAAATAGTTAAGTATATAATATTATTTTACACTATAAATAGAGGCAAACCCAGCTTATAATATTTAATAATTTGTGTTAAACTGTAGCATGATTCAGCAGAATGCTGCACTCTTTATAGATATATGCTACAGAAGCTAATATATGCTAACCAGTTCAATTATTAGCTATTTAAAAATTTAAACAGTTACATAATTAGCATCAGTTTTGGTCTTATCACATTGAGGTAAATAAGATAAAATCTGCTTTGCTGTGAAATGAGACGTTCTCCTGTTTCTTTTCTGTTAGTAAATCCATAACACACACACAGCTCTCTGACAGTTTGCATTAGATAGCTTATATACACTCTAAAATATTAAYAATAATTAGTTAATTTTTTAAACAGTTAATTTGTCTCTATGTTGCCAACATGTAGAGTAAAGGTAAATCCAGACAGCTGTTCACTTCTGTTTCCAGGCGTAACTGTGACTCTGACTGCAGCGACGGCGAGGAGGATTTCTACTACACAGAAATCAAGCTGAACACCGACTCTGTGGCCGACGGGCTCAGCAGCCTGTCGCCCGTCTCGCCCTCTGTCCTCCCCCCACCACCGCCTCCCCCGTCCCCCCTCCCTGCTCCCAGCCAGCTGGCCGACTCCCAGCGACCCCCACAGCCGTGCGACCCCAAGGAGCCTCACGCCGGCGGGACCACCCCGCTCAGCCGCTCCGCGCCGAGCGCTCTCTACCTCATCCACGCTGACCACGCCTACCAGGTGCGTGTCGCTTCGGCCCGCGCCGCCGCGCAGCTCAAAGGTGACGTCGTTAACCTCCGTCTGCCTTTTCCAGGCCACGGCCCCGGTGTCCATCCCGTCCAGCAGCAGCAACTCCGCCTCCAACAGCTTCACCCCMACCAACAGCTCCAGCTTCAGCATCTCCTGGCAGTCGCCTCCRGTCACTTTCACCGGAAACTCGGTGAGAAAACACGCCGTGAATGTTCCCTCATGCTCTCCTCTCCACTTTGAAATAATGAAATAACCCCCCCCGGTGATCTCCACAGGTGTCTCCCACTAAAAGCCAAGGATTTGGCGAGCAGCGGTCCCACACCATCGCCGTGCTGTCGTCCCCTCCGAGAGCGACCGCCGCCCTCAGGTGCTGCTTCTGCTCAGATCTGACTTCAGCTTTCATTAAACGCAGAACAAAAGAGATGATTGAAACAAACCAGAGGAGGAAATAAAAGATCTTTTACTATAAAATAAATCTCATTGAGACAAACTCATGTGGTGAAAATTACATTTAAAAATTAACCCAGAGGTTCTTGATTATTTAATTACTTCATCGAATTCACGCTGTTTTCCGTTCAACATTTTGCCTTAAAAACCAACTCATCTTGATCAGCAAACACAAAAATGGCTACAACTCCGTGAGTTTTACAGATATCGMGCTGAAATYTGGTGTGGTAGTAGCTAAGARTCATTCAGAAGAAATTCTTTGAGCTCATGTGAGATGTGCAGAATTAGATCTGTTCAAACGTCCATCTTTTTATTTGAGTAAGAATCTTTTTTTGCCATAAAGCTGGAGTTAGTACTGCTGTTTGAAACATTTACATTCTTGTAAAACAAAGTTTGTCTCTAATACTCGTTATAATTATAGTTATAACAACACAAATATGAATTGTTGTGTTTTTATCCTCCTCTCCAGTCGTAAGGTCCGCGGCGAGGGGAAGAAGTGYCGTAAAGTGTACGGGATGGAGAACCGCGACATGTGGTGCACCGCCTGCCGCTGGAAAAAGGCCTGCCAGAGATTCACCGACTGATTGTACGCCGCYGATGCAACGCCACGTCACCTCTAACGGCCAGCCGAAGGGAGAGGAGGCCGTCATCCTGCATGCTCTCGGGTTTTATTTTTTTTTCTTCAAAACAGTGCAAACTGTCCGTCAAGCTCTGGGTCCGCCCCTCGCTTCTCTTCCTGCAGTGGGAACAAGTGAAAGATGGCAGAGCTGCTTCTTCTTCTTCTTTTGTTTTTTAAACCGTTCCGTCCAGGATTCCTTATACTGCCTCACCTTTTCCCTCATTCCCAGTTGTGGGAAACCCCAGTGCAGCTAAACTAAAAAGATCTAAATTTTCTGCCGTTTTTTTTATGTTGGGTTTGATGTTGCATCTTTCTATGTTTTTGTACAGCTCTGGTTTTTATTGGAAAGTCTTGTCTAAGACTGGGTCCAGAAAAAGCTTC